TGCACAGGGGCAGGAGGGGCAGGCTCAGCTCGCTTTTCCTTCAGTGATCTGCTTCTGTAGGGGCCCTGTGGCACCGGGAGGGAGTCAGACCCCTCGCTGGAGGGATGGATCCGTAGAAGCACAGTGTTGGGTGTTTGCGTGGTGCAAGCAAGTTCCCTGGCAGGAACTGGTTCCCTTTGGGACTTTGGCTTGGGGATGGGCAGGGGAGATGGTGCTGGTGAACACCTTTGTTCCCGGCCAAGCTGCGCTCTGTTGGCCGGGGCTCAACAACTCTCCCTCTGTTGTCCTCCAGCCCTCCCATTTCCAAGCAGAGCTGTTAGCTTATAACCTTCCAGATGTCATGTCCCGCTTGCTGTCAGAACACACTCCGTCTGTCCTGTCCGCTTTTGCAAGCCAGACTCAGGGGCTCTGCTTGGCCGGTGGGCTGCTCCTCTGCCCTGGCTCCCTCCCGCCAGTCCATGTAGCGTGCACTGCCTCTCCACCCTTCCTACCCTCTTCCGTGGGCCTCTCGTCTGCACTTGGCTCTGAAGAATCCATTCTGCTCATCTTCTGGTGGTTTTCTGGGTTATTTAGGCAGGTGTAGGTGGACATTAAGTGATCAACAGGACACAGTGAGTCCAGCGTCCCCCTACGCTACCATCTTCTCCCTTGATTTCTGAAAATGTGTTTCACAATATTGTCATATAATTGTAGATTGCCATGATATTTTCAGCTTACATGAAAAAGACCTTTGAATTTGTGAAAGTTCACACTTTAATACTTCTTTGGTGGACACAAATATATTTGTAAACCCAAACATAGACTGACATGCCCTTGACCCTATTTTTACTCTGTTATCTGCAGAAAACATCACTCTAATGTTTTCCTTAAGGAAAGAACATACATCCTCAAGGTGGGAAGTAACAGCGCAGCCAATATAAGAACAAAGTGCACAGATATTCAAATGTCCTTTCAGTACTCTCTCTATGCAACCACCTACATCGTCATATTCATCCCTGGTCTTTCAGCCAACAGTGCAGCCTTGTGGGTTCTGTGCCACTTCATCAACAAGAAAAATAAAGCCATCATTTTCATGATCAGCCTCTCTGTAGCTGATCTTGCTCATATGTTTGCTGTCTTTACCTCTCCGGATTTACTATTTCATTAGCCACCACTGGCCCTTCACAAAGGCCATTTGCCTACTGTGCTTCTACTTGAAGTATCTCTACATGTGTGCCAGCATTTGTTTCCTGATGTGCATCAGTCTTCAGAGATGTTTCCTTCTCCTCAAGCCCTTTAGAGCCAGAGACTGGAAGCGTAGGTATGATGCAGGCACCAGTGCTGGCATCTGGATCATTGTGGGGACTGCCTGTTTGCCACCTCCAATTCTGAGGAGTGCTGGCTTAGCCAACAACACTGAATACTGCTTTGCCAATTTAGGGTTTCAGCACATTAGCATGGCTTCCTCCATTCGTATGATAACTGTAGCTAAACTTGGAAGTTTTTTTTTTT